ACAGTATTCCATCGTGTGTATGTACCAAGGATCGTTGACCCATTCACCCACTGATGGGCACATGGACTATGTCCATCTTTTTGCTCCTGTGAACAGTACTGCTGTGAACGTCGGTGTGCATACAGCTACTCAGGTCCTGGCTCCTATTTTTTGCGGATCTATAGCAAGTAGAGGGATTGCTGGCTCATTTTTCCAACTTTCCAAGGATGCTCCGTATCATATTCCACAGTGGCTGAGCTAGTTTACAGTCCCATCAGCAATGTAGGAGGGTTCCAGTCTCTCCACAGCCTTATCAGCAATAATTCTGTTCTTTTTAACTTTGCTATTCATGCTGGTGTGAGACAGCTCATTGTTTTCAATTGCATCTCTGTTAATAGCTAGTGATCGTGTACATTTCTTCAAATGTTGGTTGGCTATTTGCACGCCCTCATTGGTGAAGAGTCTGTATATGTTCTGTGCCCATTTTTTAAATGGGTTATTTGCCTTTTTCTTGTAGAGGTGTTGTAGTTTTCTATAAACTTTAGATATTAGTCCCTTGACTGATATGTCATTGCAAAAATTTTTTCCTAGTCGGTGGGCTCTCTTTTTGCAAAATCTTTCGCTTCACTTTATGTAATTTTTTAGGAGGTCCCAGTCATCTATTCTGTCTTCTACTGTTTGTGTGTATTTATGTTTTGTTTGACAGTGCATTTGTGTCATGGATTAGAGCCCCTAAGTTTTCAGTGATGATCTTTATAGTTCTAAAGGTGAAAACACAGTGTGGCTCAGTGATCAAACAGCCTGGTCCTGTTACAATGAAAGATGTGCAGCTCAGTGGAAGTGATTTGAGAGCCCACGAGTACATTCAGCCTCATACATCAGGTCCTTAATCCACGTTGTGGTTGTTTTTGTAGATAGTGTGAGATATGGGCCTTGAAAGTTTAATTCTTCTGCAAATGGACGTCCAGTTTTGCCAGCTGCTCCCTGAAAACCCTATAGAGGGTTGCTATGAGTCGGAACCGACTCGACAGCACTTAACAACAACAACATTGCTGAAGAGACGATATCGTCCCCATTGGATATGTTTTGGTCCTTTATCAGAGGTGAGCTGTCTGTAAGAGGATGGATTTACTACTGGGCTCTCAAATCTGTTCCACTGATCTGCTTATCTTTCATTGTGAACCGGACCAGGCTGTTTTGATCACTGAGCCATACTGTGTTTTCATAAGTTTATTATTAAACAACTAATAACAATGTATATTACTAAGCAAAATAGTTGGTACAAATTTTAACTTTAAACAAAGAGAAAAATTTTTAAAGACATGGAAGGCTTCTTCCTGCAGTCCTGGTATGGTGCTATGGGTTACTATGCTGGACCACAAGGTTGGTTTGAACAGTAGTAAGGTGGGTGGTTCAAGCTCACCAGCCACTCCTTGGAAACCCTATACAGGATTGCTATGAGTTGAAACCAACTCAATGGCATTTAACAACAAGGTACCTTCAGAACATATGGTAGTATTACAATAATCCATATGATCATCAAACAATGAAAGTACAGTGGTAGGTAAAATTATTTTTACTTTCATTGTTTGATAATCATAATGGATTATTGTAATACTGCTATATGCTCTGAAGGTGCCCTACAGTGTTACACTGTATATAAATGCAAATTGTCCCAAGCAGAAGAAGTGTCTTATTAAAAAATAATAAAAATCTTACAGATGGATTCTGCAGTTAGTTTCTGTTTGGGTTATATAAATTTTTTTTTAATTAATAATAATGATATTAGCGTAATCTAAAAATGTGATTAATGTCACTGGATTGTACAATTTAAAAAGTTACAATGGCAATCTTTCTGTTACACATGTACCACGATCAAACTTTTAAATCTGATGGATTTCAGACACTGTGATGACAGAAAAGAAACTGTATTCCATTTTTGCTCTGAAATTACCCCAAAACAAGAAGAAACAGCAACACAATCTCGGTGACTCTAACCATAACACGTAACAATGGGAAACAGAAGTCGTGGCAAACGACAGAGCAGAGAGGAAACAAACCAAAATGTGTAGTGCAGGGAGCGGGGGTTAGCGTGAGAAACCGGAATGGAACGGGAATGGGAAGTGCCAAGGTGAGAGCTATACGGGGGGGGATTCTGTTCAGGCTGATATTAAACAAAAAGGAGTCAAATATAAAATCAGCCAACTAAGTCAAAGCCAATAGTCACAGAAAGTTTTATCATAAAGAAAATGTCATCAGTACATTATTTACCCCGGCAAACCATAAGCAATATTTACATTGTGATTATAATAAAAACTTCATGAAAATTACCCAAAATCTTCATCAACAGATCTCTAAAACAGATGAATTCAGAGACAGAAATATATGTATGTAACTTAGAAATATGAAGGAAAAAAACACCAGAAGAAATGTCTAAAAGACTCAAAAGTAGTTGTTTCTAGGACAAAGGGGATAAAGGAGAGAAAAGATCTAGCATTTTTATCAGAAATCTTTTGAAACAGTTTCACTTTTTAAACCATTTTATGAAATACTATGACATAAATAAGAATTCAGAAACTTTATATGGAGCCATTTTACCTCATTGCTTGGTCCAGCAATTGAAGATGCTAGGGAGTCTTCCAGGTCTTCTGCTAATATGGACACATTTTCCCTCGACATAATCGACATCAATCCACCATTTTTAGAGAAAACAATCATAATACCACCACAGGAACCAGCTCCTAAAATACTATCTCCTTTAAGAAGAGAAAAATAGACATATGTTTCCAAAATCTACCACCCTAAAAAGCAGAAAATCATCTTGAACATTTTTTTAAGAGTTATTTTTTCTTGCTTTATACTACTATTTGTCTTTGACCTCAGCTTTTTAATCCCCAAATTAAATATCAAGAATCTGTTATTTGAAGGAGCAGGCTCTGTGTCCTTCAGCTTTAAAGACAATAAAAATGAGCAATGAGTCTATTAACGACAACAAATCGAGTATCACCTAAAAAAGTTAAGTCCTATCTCAGAAGGGCAACCTCTTCAATCTCATGGAGCCCTCTTGCCCAATTTGTCTCTACTTTATTACAACAGTCAATGAAACTTATTTATATAAGAAAGATATATGTAAGTATGCTGTTGTTGTTGTTGTTAAGTGCCATTGAGTCGGTTCCGACCTATAGCGACCCTGGATAGGGTTTTCAAGGAATAGCTAGTGAGCCTGAACTGCCAACGTTGCAGTTCAAACGGCTTTACAGACTGGAGCATTAACCCACAGCACCACACCAGGACTCCACATATAAGTATATGATATATATATTGTTGTTGTTGTTAAGTACCATGGAGTCAGTTCCAACTCATAGTGACCCTGCACAAGTTTTCCGAAGCTGTTAATCTTTACAGAAGCAGAAAGCCTCATCTTTCACCTGTGGAATGGCTAATAGTTTCGAACTGCTGACCTCGAGGTTAGCAGCCCGATTTCGTAACCACTACGCTACCAGAGCTCCTATATAAATATAGATATAGATATACTTGTTCTTAATAACGCCTATCTACCTAGTCAAGGTTCTTCTCCTGGGACTACAAACCTACACTTCATCCTTCATGTGGATTTTGTCCTCTTTCACTCCTGACCAATCCCTCTCCTCATCCCCCAACCCTGATCCTGTTCAGTTCCCTTGCATGAGTCCCCACCTAGGGTTCTTCTTTTTTTTAAAAGTTATAAAAGCATTCATTTTACTATTCTTTCATCTTTTCTGTAAGTTAGAAAATTTTTTCCATCATTATTTTTTATTGAAAGGTGGAAAAGCATGTCAACTAAATAAATGCATTATGTGGATTTTGTTTGGAATCTGATTTGAACAAACTAAATTTAAAAGACATGATCCATATAACCAGAGAAAATGGAGCATGGGCTTTTATTGTAAATTACTGTTAAATTTCTTGAGTGTGATAGATGCATTATGGATACATTAAAAAGTCTTTATTAAAAATACATAATATAGTAGTAATGGATACAAAAATATTAATGTAGAGTTAAAGTCATAATAGACAGGAGAAAGACTATATTGAGTGGCAGGGTCTCATCCCTTTTTTTTTGTTTAAGGTTTTTATTGTGGACTGAGTGCAAGTTTACAGGGCACACCATCAGTTTCACGTTCAACCATTCATATGGCTTGTTTCATTACCCCACCTAGGGTTCTTCTTGTCCAGGGATCTGGACCAATGAGACTTAAAGAGCATCAACTCAAAACAAATCACTCTTGTGGTGCTAACCACAAGATTATTGTTGTCAAGTGCCGTCGAGTCGGTTCCGACCCGTAGTGACCCTGGATAGGGTTTCCAAGGAACAGCTGGTGAGCTTGAACCGCCAACCTTGCAGTTCAAATGGCTCTGCCGTCTGGAGCATCAACTCACAGTGCCACAGCAGGTAGGCAGTTCAAACCCACCAGTCGCTCCATGGAAACCCTAAACAGGGTCGCTCTGAGTCAGAACAGACTCGACTGCACTTAACAACAACGACAACAACGACTTTTTCGCATTTCAGTAGGGCTGTGACTTCAATTACTATAGGTACAGTACTGAATGTCTCAGAAACACCAGAGGTTGGAAACATCAATCAAGCCAGAAACAACACTTAAACCAAGAGAACAAAAACTACCACGACTGACCAAGGAGCTCACTAATCATGCGCTCAGGAACTGTTACTTTACCTTGTGTGTCAAACACAATCTTCTCTTGAGGAAGAGAAAGCCTCCCATTTCCCGTGGAGCACACGTAGACCGCATTCTCAGTGTACAGATAGGCAGTCTGCTTTGAAAAGTTTGGTACCACCAACCGACACTTGATCTGGTCTTCAGACTGAAAATTAAATGTAAGGCTGTATTTACAGAGAACTGAAACCAAAATCACTGTGTGCATGATTTTATAATTCATGTTTTGTACACTACCTCACTGAAATGAAGTAATTGATTCTCTTTGTAAAAACCTAGTCTAAATAATTACCCACAGGTTGATTTACAAAAAAATGAGAGTACGCTCATAAACATCAGCGAGGGAAATCATTTAAGAAGCAGATTCTGAAAACACTGCTATAGTGATAAATTATAATTATTTGACCATAACAAATGAGAGGGATAAATTGAATCATTAATCCATTATATTATTTTAGAGCTGGCAAATATCCCTGAAAAACATTTTGGTTCTTACTGTACTGTGAAAATATTAAGCATAAGAAATTGAAGTTAATTTGTCCATACTAATAAATACACTCAGAAGGAGAAATAAAGTAAGTATTAATTAAGTGACAAAATTAGCCAATGCTAAAATGATAGCTAGTTATTAAAGAAGTAATATTACAAAGAAAACATCACAAGTGGTATTCTGGGTTGTTTTGTAATTCTCAAATTACTTTCTTAACAATCGCTGCATTGTCTGGGAATGCTTTTTTTTTTTAAAGACTGAACTTGCTTGTCTTTCATCATCAAAAACATAATAAAGGTCATTTCTGTTTAAAATAAAAGACAAATTAAAAGATCTTCTGACAGGATTTAATTACGGAACTCATGTAAAGAATAAGGATCGAAAATGATTAGCTCCTACAAAGGAGCTCTGGCACTGTAGTGGTTACAAGCTGGGCTGCTAATCTCAAGGCCAGCATTTCGAAACTACAAGCCATTCGTTCCGTGGGAGAGAGATGAGGCTTTCTGCTCCCATAGAGATTTACAGCCTGGGAAACCCTACACAGGGTCACGGTAAGTCAGAACAGACTCCACGGCATATAACCACCACCACCACCACCCAAGTTCAAATGCAATGAATTTACAGCAGTTGAGGTTTCCCCCCCTTATCAGTATCACAGCTTCTAAGTACGCTATTTATTACATTGTTATAAATAACTAAAAATGTAAACACAATATAAGAAATTTAACAAGTATATAACACTGTTGCATATAAATAAAATCCTTCTTTGAGCAAAAGATTTTTCTTTTCTGAAATACAGAGGGTTCCAAACCAAACCCAATCCCCATTAGGTTTTATCCTTCAGTTCACAATTGTAATCACAATACAGAAACGACAAGCCCTTGGTATGCAGTAGAGCAGAAGCAACAAATGGCCTGCTACTGACTGCTTTCACGCGTGTTTCTCTTGAGCTGAGGCTGACCAAAGGACAGAATCTGAGATGGCCCAGAAAACGCAACGTCTAAAAACAAGCTCTAACAAGTGTTTCTACACCTTGTAGCTAAACCTCTCAAAGAATCTGGCCTGCAATGGTTAGAAAAGCCTTCCATGCCTCTCTGAAATTAGAGTGTCAGAGAGAAATCTTACCTGGAAAGGTGGGTTATACTGAGTGACTTCGACGGTAACGGCACCTGACAACTGGTAGCCGTCATCTTCCACTGTTATCAGAGAGTAATATATGACGCACGGTGAGTCTGCCGGATGCCACGCTGCTGCCAAAATCAGGAGCCCATCACTAGTCAAGAGAAGAGAAAATCGATAGTCTCTCTGGAAAACAGCTGGGCAGTTACTGATAAAGGTCAACATATACTTCCCATATGACCCAGCACTCCTACACCTAGATGTTTACTCAAGAGAAACAGAAATCTACGTTCACATAAAAACCTGTGTATAAATGTTTAGAGTGGCTTCATTCATAATTGCCTAAAATTATCAACAACCCAGATGTCCTTCAACTGCTGAAAAAATAAATAAGCCTTGGTACAGCCGTACAGTTGGATACTACTTAGTTTTAATAAGGAAGAAACTACTGGCTAAATTTCAAATTTCTGATAAGTGAAAGAAGCCAGGCTCTAAGGCTTATACTTCAGAATGCCATTTCTATGACATTTTGAAAAAGGCAAAATTCTAAGGATAGGAGGTAGCTGCTCAATGATCCCCAGGAGTTGGGGGTAGAGGGAAGGGGTAACTATAAAGGGGCACAAAGGAATTTTGAGGGCTGATGGAATTATTCTATATGTTAATTGTGGTGGTAATTAAATGACTGTATGCAGTTCTCAAAACTGACAGAATTATAAACAAAAGAGGATACATTGTACTGTATACAAACTATAGATCAATCAACTTGATCTTAAGGGCAAAAAACCCAATTTGTCAAACCCAAAGCACATGTCCTGTTACTGTAAATAAAGTTTTACTGGAACACAGTAATGGCTGTTCATTTACATATACATTGTCTATCCATGTTTTCATGCTATAAGGGCAGAATTAAAATAGCTGCAATGAAGACGATTTCCTGCTTGCAAAAATAGTTCTATGTGGCCCTTTTATAGAAAAGGTCTGTCAATTCCATATCTAATCAATTCATTTTTGTCCAAAGGTAAAAGTGTTTTAAGAATGAACCATTAGTTACTGAACTTTCCAGCTGCTATCTATGTGAAACAACTGTTGAACCATCTATGTTCATCCATGTCTATCTATGTGAACAACTATGTCAACCAAATGTTGATGCTGTGAGAGGGCATCTCACTGCTGTTTTGATTTGCATCTCTCTAATGGCTAGTGATCATGAACAGTTCTTCATCTGTATATTGGCTGCCTGGATCTCTTCCTTGGTGAAGTGTCTGTTCATGTCCTGTGCTCAGTTTTTAATTGGGTTTTTTGTCTTTTTCTTGTAGAGATGTTGTAGTTTCCTATATATTTTTGTAATGAGTCCCTTGTCTGATGTGTCATTGCAAAAGATTTTTTCCCATTCTGTGGGTTCCCTTTTTACTCTTTCGGTGAAGTCTTCTGATGCACATAAGTTTTTAATTTTTAGTATGTCCCAATCATCTATTTTGTCTACTTTTATTTGTTTACTTTACAAAATGTTTGGTAGTCTGTGTATTCCCTGTATTAGAGCCCACACATTTGTCCCAATTTTTTCATTGATGACCTTCGTGATTTTGGGCTTCACATTTAGGTCTTTAATCCATGCTTGGTAAGAATGCATAATGGTACAGCCATTGTAGAAAGTAGCGTGATGTTTCCTCAAAAAATAAAACTAACATGTTGTTGCTGTTAAGTGCCTTCAAGTGGGTTCCATCTCATAGCGGCCCTGTATAGGGCTTCTGAGGAGCTGCTGGTGAGTTTGAACCTCTGACCCTGCGGTCCAGTGCTCATCATACAGTGCCACAGTAGGACTCCAAAACTCCCATATGACTCAGAATACACTTCTCAGAATACACTATAAGACTTGAAAGCAGACACTCAAATAGAGATGCATGAACCAGTGCTCACAGCAGCACTATTCCCAACAGCCAGGAGATAGGCACAACGTGAATGCCTATCCATAGACGAATGGACAAACACAATGGGGTGCATACACACGTGTCTAGGACAAATGAAGTCTTGACACATGCTACAGTCAACCACAAAGAAACAAACACTCTAAGACCTCACTTACAGAAAAAAGACAAGAAAAGGCAAATACATACAGACCAAAGTTTCTCAGTGGCTACCAGGGGTGAAGTGCCGCAGGATAAGCACTGGACTAGTAGCCACAGTAGTTGCTTTCCCTGTGGTGGGTGGAGACGTAAAGAGCACCATGCTCGATTTGTACAGAGCACTCTCCTGAGATCTACATGGGATCAAACTAACCCAGCACAATGGAAGGATTACACAGGCCCTTTAAAGCAGCTCGTTTATCTTGGGGGTCGGGTTGTGGTTAGGTGCATTCCAGGCAGTTCTGACTCACAGCACAATGGGAGGAAATACTGCCAGGGAGGTACACCTCAGAAAAGGAGGGTGCCAATGGCTGCATAACTAATCACTAATGTCACTCAACTGTACCTGTTGTTGATGTTATTACGTGGCATCAAGGCAGTTCCCACTCACAGTGAGCCTGTATAGGGTTTCTGAAGAGCCACTGGTGGGTTTAAACCACCAAACTTGCAGTTAGCAGTTCAGTGCTTATCCTCAGCACCACACCACGACTGCAAATTGTACATGCATAAACTGTTAAACTCTATGCTTTTCTGCGCATAGTCTCAAAATGAAAATAAATGAAATTTAAAGTAATAATCGTATGAGACAAAGCTTTAACAGACAAAGCTAGGATCTTTAATTACTACTTAGAGCACTGTTTCTAAGAGGAATTCAGTGAGCACAAACCACAGTTGGGTTCTAACGTGAACTGCCAAGAGAAGACCTTGCTGTTGTCTTATTGTTAAGGGTCGTCAAGTCGGTTCTAGTATAGGGTGCCCGAGGAGCAGCTGGTGAGCTTTGCAGTCCAGTTCATTAACCCACAGCGCTACACCAGGAAGCCAAGACAAGACCTTACCCTGTCATTATTTCACTCAAAGTAGCCATGACAGTTAGCTTGCTAGAGCTCCTTTAGCAACAGGAAAAGGAGTAGGCAGTGTGCCAAGTATCTGTCTTGTTGTTTTTGTTGTTATGTGCCATGGAGTCAGTTCTGACTCATAGCGACCCTATGAGTACAGGGTTTCCGAGGCTGTAAATCTTTGTTGTTGTTGTTGTTGTTGTTGTCAGGACAACAACAAAGATTTACAACAACAACAAAGGCTGTAAATCTTTACGGGAGCAGAATGCCTCACCATTCTCCCGCGGAACAACTGGTAGTTTTGAACTGCTGACCCTGAGGTTAGCAGCCCATTTTGTAACCACTACGCTACCAGAGCTCCTTGCCAAGTGTCCGTAGGAGAGGAGAAAGAACAGCACTCGTACCCACCGCAGAGGAGAACACACAGGGTCTCAGGTACTCTCCTCAGCAGTGAGCCAGAAGCTCCAGCTATGAAGACAGAACAGTTGCGACTCTCACTCGGGTAAGCTCAAGTGTTAAGGACACACACTGTAAGGCTGAGAAGGGCCTGGATTGCTACAGTGAACTAGCATTGTTAGAGACAACTTAGCAAGGCTTAACAGAGGACAAGACAATGACAGCACTAGACACACTGGAAAAGCAAATCACAAGATTGCTCATCATTCTGAAATAACACAAATTCATTTTTCCACACTACTACCTATATTCTTTAGGGCAAATTAATCGCTTACCAGTTTTGATTCAGATCCAAATATCGAACGTTCACACCCTCTTTAATAGCTTCATAGTTCCTTTCAGAGCCCTGTATGAAGAGATCACCATCGTAAGCAAGCTCCTTGAGAACTGAAATCATTGCTTCTCACCTTTGTATCCCCAACACCGAGTCAAGTACCTCACTCATAGTGACTGAAACGTTTGCTAAGAGAATAATGTAGGATTTTAAAAATGATTAAACAAGTAAAGCAGTGATTTCTAATACACTGGATAGCTCATTTCTGCTTCTGATGGCTAGACACTGTTTATTACCCTGAAGTGTGTTCAAATAAGCAAAACAACTGTAAGAACAGGATCATCACAAAATCATGAATGTAAATTACAGGCATGAAGATTTTATTCCTTACCCAAATAGCATCAGCAATGTTTTCCTTCAGGATTCTATTCAAATCCCAACTATGTACTTGTTTTTCTGAATAATCATCTACTTCCCATTTACTGATGTTTGAACTTGAAAGGCTGTAAAAGCTTGATCTCTCTCTGTCCCAAAAGACACTTGAAAGCTATATGAAGAGAAGAAGAACATCATATTTATGGATTATCAATTTATGATATTACCAAAATATTTTTCTGAAATTCAAATTGTATTTTTTATGACTCTGTGGTTAGAAACCCTAGCTGAAGTCTCCATTAAGAATCCCAAAGAAGACATTTACCCTGAACCAGACCTTGGAAGCACAGTAGGGTTTCCAGAGGCAGAAAGACCCAGGAAGAGCAGACCTGAGGAGATAGGAACATTATAGGGTCTTCAGAGAATGAGCCATGCCGTAAAGACTTAGTGGGTATGACAGGAAGAATGGGATAGATAGATACATGTTGTTGTTGTTGTTTAGTGCCACGAAGTCATAGCAACCCTGTAGACGGTTTATGAGGAGCAGCTGGTAAGCTTGACCCACCGACTTTGCAGTTCACACTGACTGTACAGTCCAGCACATTAACCAGCAGCGCCATACAGAACTCCATGATATATAGAAATGTATTTATTTAAGCTGGGTATGTATGAACGTTTTAAGCTTAATATCCTAATTGTCACTGTTTTTATTGTCATTATGACTCTAGCCACTTATGGAGCAAAAAAAAAGGCCAACCATGAGTAAACTGAACTGACAGCAGGAATTTAGGTGAAATTGACCAAGTCTAGATTTGCTGCTATCACGATCAATGAATCAGTCCCGACTCAGTGAGAGCTTGCAGAGGGCTCCAAGGCTGCACATTTCTGTGGGAACACAAAACCTCATCTTCATTCTGCAGAGTGGCTGGTGGGTTTGCAGCACCCATTGCCTAACCCACGGTACCAAGAGGCCTCCTTTTAAATTCAGACACAACTAGGTATAAATCCAACTCTGTCACTTAATAGTTAAGTCACCCTGGCCAGGTAACTTAACCTCACTGAGCCAGAAGGTACAGCAATCTGCTTTACAGGCTGTGGCCATGACTACAAGAGGCTGTAAACAGAGAGCCCCTGGCATAGGACCGAGGCTACACTGAGATCCTATCAGCCTTTCCTTCAGTATTCTGGAGCTTAAGGTGGACCTGGAAGCCTATGTTAAGAGCTTCCAAAAGTTAGTGGATGAAGCCAAGAGAAGGCAACAAGAAACACAGGAAGGAAGTGGGACAAGTCATCATATACTGAGGAAACTGCAATCGAGATGAAATGAAGCATATGATTTATTAAATGTAAAACTGATGATCTCTGTAAATCTTCATTCAATCCATAGTCAAAAGTTCAAAAAGAAAAGTTACTGGAAAAATGGAATCAAAAGATAATGGAACTTTCCCACAAACCGTTTGAAGCCTCCTCGTCTATGTACACTTGAGTGAGCTACACGGATAGCCAGAATCATGGAACTGAAGAATTAAGTTGGGATTCATTCTGGAATACTAAATTCTTGGAAAAGACTCTAAAATGGTATGTAAGAGTCTTAGAGAAAATGTACTTAGAAGGAAATCTGTGTGATTTAAAGATGCTGTTAGGAGATGCGTGGGAAGGGAGTTAACAAGGACTTGTCACAGCAAAATCGGTTCAATGGAAAGATCAGAGGTTCTAGGTCACGTCCTCCACTGTCCAACTACAGGCAATACAGACTTTATGAGAAATGGTCAACTTACTGATTTCACTAAAAATTCAGCTTGTGTAACAAAGTCATTTTATAAACTTACTGTGAGATCACTACTAGGAGATAAAATTCCCAAAAGAGAAGAAACCCTCCGACCAATTCCGGAAAGCACGCCTTGTCCTTGAGGGAGAACATGCTGGTAAATCTTTCCCAAACTTTCAGGTATCAACCGAATTAGTTGGCTTCCTGATGAGGACAAAATGAAGCTTCCTCCCTATAAGCAAATATTGTGAGATGAGAGATTAGTTCAGTTACACATATGACACTTCGATTTATTTTTTTACCAAAAAAAAAAAAAAAATTGAATACAGAGAAACATCACCTGCTTCTTAACCCAAATCTAAAAGAATAAGAAAATGGGAGCAGTATTATTTTATTAAAATAAATTACTTAGGAATCTCTTCACCAACAGGAAAAATGCAAAACAATAATGGCAGTCAGACAAGTTCATCAAATTGTATCAGATGACAGTCAAATTGTAATTTGCTACAATTTGATGAACTTGACCTACACCTATGGATGCAGTAGCTCAAAAGAGGGAACAAATCTTTACAGTGAGGATCATTCCCATCCCCTCCATACACGGAGAGGACAGGGATGGGCAACTTGGACATTGGCTAACCAAAATGGGAAAGGGGAGCTACAAAGGCGAGAAATGACTGGCTTATAAACTTTCAAGAGGGAGCTTAGATCCAGAGGGCGTGGAGGAAGGTAGAGTCTCTACTGAGTACTATACAATCTGACTGGGCGGGACTGATGGAAGGAGATGGAGATAGTTCTCTTGTGATACAATAGTGAATAATTACTCTCAGGACTGAGTGTGAGGGTTGGAATGTAAAGGTAGACATTTTGTAGCAAAACAAGGGGAGTGGTTGACTTTGCAATCCAGGAGCGGAGGTCCCTGGGACCATCAAGGGAGAAGAGCGGAGTGCAGGACCCTACCCAGAGAAGCAGTGACACCAGAGATGGAGCAGCTGGGGACTTTATTTATTTTTCATTGTATATAGTTGTTTTTTTTTAATGTTTTATTGTGTATTGTGTGATAGTCTACATGGGGGAACACTAGTTTTATATTCATTCCATCATACATTGTCTCACTGCCATAGTTACCGTCCCGTCCATGCATCATCACCCAACCAAAGGGTACACCCTGCAATCCCGCCCACCCTCCCCTCACGGTCCTCAGCACACAGCCCCTCTCCCTCTCTGGATCCCTAGTCCCCAGCCACTCCATCTCTTCACGTCATCCTCTCTGTCTCAGGCCTCACTGTTCCTCTGGGTGGGGTCCCGCTCTCCGCTCTTCTCCATTGATGGTCCCAGGGCCCTCTGGGACTGAAAGGTTAATCACTCCCCTCCTTGCTGTAAAATGTCCACCTTTACATTTCCAGTCCTCACAATCAGTCCTGGTGACAATTATTCACCCTTGCATCCCAAGGGACCCATCTGCATTTCTTTTCATCTGCCCTTCCTACACAGGTCGGATACTACTCATTGGAGACTCTACCATCCTCCCTGCCCTGTGGATCTAGGTTCCCTCTTGAAAGCTTGTAAGCCAGTCACTTCTTGCCTTTGTATCCCTTCTCCCATTTTGGTTGGTCAATGTTCAAGTTGTCCATCCCTATCTACTCTTTGTGTGGAGGGGGTGGGAATAGTTCTTGGAGGAGGGATTTGTTTCCTCTTTTGAACTAACTGCATTTATAGGTGGATGTCCAGTTTATCAAACTGTATCACATGACGCTTTTTTCCTCTTCTGTCTTCTTCAGGTTGAGCTCTGTTCGTCCCATCATTGGAGCATGGCAAGTGGGTATCATCTGCAGGTGTGGGTGTCCCTGCGTCTGTCCGCCCTCTCCTTATCGATTGGTTGCTTCGGTCTCCACTCTAGTCCTCTGTGGATGTGTCACTGACTCTGAGCCCATGAGTCCCCAGGTCTTGCCTCACTGCTGGCTGACCAGGTCTCCACCCGGGCTCACCATAGTCTGCTGAACAATGCAGGGCTTAGCTCGCTGCTTCTTTGATGTTCTTCGGTCACTTCTCTTTTTGGGTGATGTGCATGGTCGCCAATCAGAACGCGTTTTCCCCTTGCGTCTTAGTCTTGGAGGATTTGCACTGAGAGGACCTGATCACTTGCCTTTATGTCTCCTGGGCAGACAGCTTGCTTGTTCCTGTGGTAACAGTTGGACTGCCCTTGTTGTTTTGTATTTTTTCTGTAAGTCCTTCTTTCAAGAAGTGTCTTCTGGTTTTCTGGCTGCTCCAGGCTGGTCTGCTTGTCTTTTCAAGAGAAAAGTTTCCCTTCTCTGATGGTCTGGATGTGGTTCAGGGTTTCGTCTATAAGTCTTATGTAATGCAGAGGCTCCTCATGAGATCTCCTTCACTAGATAACATTGTAGCCCCATTTTTAGGTATTCTAATTAGTTATAGGCAGAAGACGGACTTACAAGTTTTCTATGGTGGTATTTCTGGCTATTCCTTTTCTTCTCCCTCCAGTGACTGTTTTATATTATAATGCTTGGAAAACCAAGGCTCAAAAGTCAGCGGTGGAGACTTGAGACACAGAGAGGGAGAGGGGCTGTGTGCTGACGACCCGGGGGCAGGCTTGCTTTGATTGGCTGATGATGCATGGAGGGGACTATAACCATGGCAACGTAAAAATATATGATATGATGAATGTAAAGCTAATGTTCTCCCATGTAAACTATTACATAATTCACAAAAAAACATAAAAAAAAAAAAAAAAAAGGAATCTCTTCACACTACAGTAAGCAAAAAACTTTTACAGCAGCGACAAGGTTTGCTTTACTTCTGATTTTTAAATGATAGGTTCACCAGGTTGCAGGTTCAACAAACCAAGCATCAGCTTTTATTTCTTTGGTAAGCTTCCTGAGTATACAGTAGCACACCATTCTTAATAGAATCTAAGGGTTTTATACCACTCTCCTAAAATATTTCTGAAGGGAATCAATACCACTGGCTACTGTTGGTGATTAATCTATTGGAGTCCTATAGGAAGGGCTTTCCTTTGACCTAAATCCTTGCAGTTTTCTCATTTTAGTCCCTCCCTGGCCTGTGTGGTCTGCTTAAAACCCTGCATTGTTAGTCATACAAATCCCATTTACACACCCATTCACAGCTCACCTGCACGGCTGTTAGAAAACTGTAAGTCTTGTCACCTCCTAAATCTACAACAGTCTCGGTATAGGTGTCTTCATGAGCAAGGTTTGGCCAATAGCGGACCGATCCTTCTCTGGTGGCAACCATTACAGCAACAGCCTTAAGGAAACATTACATAGTGTGTGAGTTAATACGACAAGGATTTCAAAACTGCAAATCTGACGACACTACTAAAGTCATCAGGGCAATTTACTGCTTGAGTCATGAAACCAGAAATAAGAACTTTCTTCTAATTGAAATTTACTTTATTCCTTTGGCATACTGTTCTATGTATAGATCCATGTAACTAGCAGGACAATTAAGACGATGAGCAGTTCCATCACCCCACGAAATTCCCCAGTGATGCCTTTCACTAACTCTCCTGACAGCCCAACCCCTGGAGAGCATGGTTTCCATCATTACAGTTTTGTCATTTCAAGAACGTCAAACAAATAAACCAGTAGAGCACGTACTCTTGATGCTGGCTCATTTCAGCATTCAAGTTACATACACCAACAGTGCATTCCTTTTTACTGCTGAGAAGTGAGCGATTCTAGGAATGTGCCACTGTGTCTCCATTCCCTTACTGAAGGACGTCTAAAGCTGTGTCATTTGTACAGTGGCTGCTGTAGGAGCCTCGGTTTACATAAATACCCAGGGATTTTGTTGGTGCAGCGGATTTGGTGTTGGGTTGCTAACGGAAAGGTCAGTCCACAGGAGAAAGATGAAGCAGTCAGCTCCTGTAAAGATTTCCAGCCTTGGAGAGCCTCTGGAGCAGCTCTGCTCTGTTCGACAGTTTCACCATGAGTTGGAATCGGCTTGATGACAGTGACTTTGGTTTTGGTTTGGGGAAAAATACCCAGGAAAGATTACTGAGTCACACAAGGAACCCTGGAGTCCTAGTGTGGCGCTGTAGAATAAGAATCTACCAGCCACTCCACGGGAGAAAGAAGAAGCTTTAGGCTTCCATAAAGACTTACCATGCTGGAAACCCTATACAGGTCGCTGTGAGTCAGAACCAACTCAACGGCACACAACCACCACGTGCAACTGTACACTTAAGTTTATAAAAACTTGCCGAATCTAGTGGCTACAGCATTTTACATTCCCATCAGCAATGTATGGGACAGCTTCCAACAGTTCATGGAAAACTTATATTATCTTTTAATTCCATTTTTAACAAACTTTTTGAAGATCCCTTGTATGCGATTCCTGTTGTTCCATACCCTTGCCAGCACATGGTAATATCAGTATATATTTTTTTAATTTTAGCCATTCTAATAGGGATTATTTTAATTTGAATTTCCATAGTGGTTAACGATGTTGAACATTTCATGTGCTTACTCAATTCTCTGTGACAGTATCTACTCACGTTCTAGACACATAAGGATTTCTGGTAGTGTAGTGGTTACAAGTCGGGCTGCTAACCTCAAAGTCAGCTGTATGAAACTACCAGTCATTAAGCAGAAGAAAGGTGAGGCTTTCTGCTCCCATAAAGTTACAGCCTCAGAAACCCTACGCAGGGTCTCTATGAGTTGGAACCGACTCCACAGCACACCACCACCACCACCATACCCATTTAAAAATTTGAGTGGTGTGTTTTCCTATTGTGGAACACTACGGGTTCTTTTTATACTGTGGATATATGTCCTTTATTACGTATATGATTTACAGACATACGAGGGGGCTTCAAAAAGTTCATGGGAAAATACCATTACCTTTTCATTCCATTTTTCCATGAACTTTTTGAAGCTCTCCACCCCTCATAGTCTCCCAGTCCGTAGCGTGCCTCTTCATTTTCTCATTGGCAGAACAAAGTTTGAAATTTTGAGAAAGTCTAATTCATAATTGTTTTCTTTCATGGATCATGCTTTTGGTGTTACTTCCAAGAACTATTTACCCGTTCCAAAGGTTCTCTGATGCTTTCTTCTCAAAGGTGTATGTATACCTTATATCTCGTATGTAGATCTATGATCCATTTTGAGTTAATCTTTGTATGCGGTATATAATTTAGGTGGAAATCCATTCTTTGGCATATAGATAAGCAATTTTTCCAGCACCATATGTTGAAATGTTACACTGCTTTTGCACCTTTGTCAAAGATTAAATGCCATATTTGTATGGATTTAGCTCTAAACTGTATTCTGTCCCACTGATGAATATTTCTCTTTTCCAGTACCACAGTATCTTTATCTTGTTGTTGTTAAGTGCCATTGAGTCAGTTCTAATCCTTGCAACCCTGTATAGGGTTTCCAAGGAGAGGCTGGTGAGCCTGAACCACTGACCTTGCAGCTCAAACTGACTTTGCAGGCCAGAGCATTAACCCATAGTGCCCCACGAGGACTCTATACCTTTACAGTTACACCTTCAAATGAGACCAAATGAGTCTTCCAACTTTAGAAATGTTTACTTCAATAAGCATTTAAGTCACCTACCTGAATAGAATGTGCTTCACCTGAGACAGCAGAGTAAGAGAGTGCCACCAAGTCCGTACTCCAACAGAAATCGCTGGATGGCAACTGGAGCTCTTTGCACACAGACAGCTATAGAACAAATGCAAACAGAAAATCCTTCACACGAAATCTACTCTTTCAAATCTGTATCTGACTGCCATGTGTCCTTTCCCTGAACAGCCTAGATCTGATTCATTGCTGGAAATACCATTCCACAAATACTCCTTTTATGCAAATCTCCTTTTGATCAGCCTTTCATGATGAAAGGCTGTCTTTCCATAAACTTAAAACAAAGTACCTTCTAATATAAACAATCAGGAAAGCTTAAATGCTAGACTAGACATTGAGTATCTACCAGTCCAATTGCTTCCCCAGCTAAAGAAACGTTCTGGCTAAGAGACGTACCTAGACTACCTCTGGAACTTTTCCATTCTACTCTTGAAATCAGCATGACTACAAATAAATTGTATCGAATTTTCTAGAGAACAGTTCTTAAAACACTCAGCTTCCCTCTACTAACTCAACATGTCCTCCAGAACTTTTCCCTCAACGAGTGCTCCTCACTACAAAACCTATTTTCCAGTGGCAGCACTGAGCCTCAGGACTTGAAGTGTAGGCAGCGGAACAATGACCCAGGGAATCATGAGGGCTTCATCACTCTGTGACACACAGAATAGTCTAAGTTGTGACAAATAGAAAAAAAGCTACTAAGGATCACTTACTAGACACAAGACAATCCCTGTTTAAAAGAACTGAAAGCTAAACTAAAAATTGGCATCATTTTTCTTATTCACTAGATTCAGTAAACATACTCATATCTTCTTAGAAATAAGTTTATTGGTTTATTTGGACAGCATGTGACGTGACCCGTGACTTCATTGGACAGACCAGTTATCACGACATTTGTGAAAAATGTCATGTTTCTAATTTTATCAAACATAAATGACATAGATTTTATTTTTAAATTATCAAAGGAAAGCAGCTTTTCCCTCAAGACATAAATGTGTGAGGTGCTGATTACATCATAGCATTAAAATGCAAATCCATAATGCTTGAGTAGATTCACATTACTATCCTCCACCAACTCCGAAGTTCAAATACAATCAAGGGCCTATTGGTATTCCTCTTCATAGACTTTCCAAGAGCCATACCTTAGTAATAGGAGAGGGACCAATCCTCCAAATCATGAGTTTCTCTTTGCACAGCAGGCGAGCCCATCCACTTTCATCTATGCTAGCAGTCAGCTGATCATCAACTGAAGAAAACAAATGAGGTACAATGAATCTTAGAGTGTACATAGGAAAACCTGTCCAAATTTCCTCATACTGAAATCTTTATTGTCACGTGTCACCAAAAAAGGTAATTAACAAACACCAAACAAGGTTAATTCACCAAAGAAACTAAGAAAGAAAGAAATTAAAGAATTAGTAACATTCAGAAGAAAAGATTCCCCCGTTTGTGCAATGATTATGTTCTTGACTACTAACTGAGAATGTACTCAATGGTTAAACTCACCCAGCAACTCCAAGAGAGAACAGAGCTGGAAAAACGCCCACGTAAAGATTACAACCTCGGAAACTTTGGGGTGGGGGTGGGGGGCAGTTGTACTCAACAGTACACAACAACAGCAACAGCCATCTTTAAAATTACATCTAAAGGCCCAAAGTACATGTTGGACCATACTTTCGTTATAGCAGTAGCTTGCTTTCTATAAGTAAACATGCAGTACACTCATAATTTTATTTTGATAAAACACCAGAAATCATAAACCCTTCAGAAACTATATAAATCATTTAAAGAACTCATACAATTCAACAACAAAAAGACAAACAATCAAATTGAAAAATGGACAAAAGACTTAGATAGATATTTCTCCTAAGATGATATACAAACGGCCAATAAGCACATGAAAAAAAGCTCAACATTAATCATTTAGGAAATGCCAATCAAATCCACAATGAGATGCCACTTCCTATACAAGAGGTCGGTTACCAGGGAAACAGTCGGGGTAGCAGTGCTGGTGGGAATGGAAAATAGTGTAGGCCATGGGAAACAGTTTGGTGGCTGTTCAAAGAGCTCAACAAAGAATTCTGATGACCCAGTCTTGAAATCTACTTGACTTCCTTGCCATTTGGAAGTTCTGTATCTATACTGTTTCCTCTTTTTGCTCTGTTACTGACTTTACTATACATTGATATCTCTGGTTCTCTATGGTTACAAATCAGGCTGCTAACCTCAGGGTCAGCAGTTCAAAACTACCGGCTGTTCCGGGGAGAAAAATGAGGCTTTCTGCTCCCATAAAGAGTTATAGCCTCGGAAATCCTGACAGGGTCACTGTGAGTTGGAACCGACTCCACAGCACAATAACAACATGTTTGTTTTATTTAAATACTTTTATATTTGGATTGAGTTCTAAGAGGCATTGATTTGATTGAAAATACCACGTTATTCTCTGTTGCTGTTGGTTCTCAGTCCAAAGAACATCCTTTAGCATTTTTTGCAAAGTTGGTCTGGTCACTAAATTCCTTTAATCTCTGTTTATGAGGAAATGTCCTAATTTCACCGCCATAGTTAAGGAACAGCTTTGCTGAGTATATGTCTTGGTTGGTAATCTTTTTCTTTCAGAGTTTTGTACATGTCATCCCATTGCCTTCTTGCCTGCGTGGTTTCTGCTGAGAAACCCAAGCTTAATCTTATTGGTTCTCCTTTGTAGGTCATTTGTCCTTTTTCCCATGCTGCTCTCAGAATTCTTTCCTTGTCTTTGATGTTGGAAAGTTTGATTGTGATATCTTGGTGATTTTCTTTAGGGATCTATCTTGTTTGGAGTTCATCCAACCCCTTGTATGTTTATCTTTCATGATGTTAGCGAAGTTTTCTTCCAACAACTCTTGGACAATTTTCTCTGAGCTTGTCTCTTCCTACTCTGGAATTCCGATCACGCATTAAGTTGCTGTTCTTCATAGTATCCCACAAAACTCCTAAGTTTTCTTGGGAGCTTTTCCTTCTATTTTCTGATTGACCCTGTAGCATGCTAGCACTGAGAGGTCTCTCTTCAAGCCCCCAAATTCAGGCCTCCTTTGCTTCTCATCTCCTCCTTTGCCCATTCAGTGTATTGTCTATCTCTGAGATCTTAGTATTAATCTTCTGGATTTCTCAATACAAGTTTTGTATTGTTCCCAAATTTGCATGTATTTTGTGCTCGTTCTTTTAGTGTCTTCCTGAATTCTTCTAATGTTTTTATTGTGTTCTCTTGCTTTCCTTTTAGTGTTTTCCTGAATTCTTCTAATGTTTTTATTATGTTCTCTTGCTTTCCTCGATCTTTCTATTGATCCTTGAAGGTACTTAATTCTCATTCTTTTGGATTCTTTTTCAGTTAGTTCTATTACTTTTTCTTCTTTAGAAACCTCTTCTGGCTCTGCATCTTGGTCATTTGTTTGAGCCATTCTCTCGTTTCTTCGTGTGAACTAAAATTGCCTGTTGTCTTTGGGGCATTATGAGGTTGTCATATTTGTAAAAAACAGTACAGTTGTTGGACCCAGAGAGAAAACCTCTGTGGGCCTCCAGCAATTCAAGGAGCTCATGAGGCTCAAGCCTACCAACTGCTCCTGGAAATGCTATACGGGGTTGTTACGAGTAGGAAACGACTCGATGGCACTTAACAACAACCACAATGAGGTGGTTGTGGATGGGCTCTGTGACCACAGAGTCCCTGGCCCTGGATGGAGTTCCCATTGGCCTCGGTGTCATCTATGTTCAGGGCACTCAATCCGGAAGTAGTGTGTGGAGGCCCCTGGTGGCGGTTTCAGCATGTGTTAAGAACGTATCGGGGCAGGGTAACTAGTCCAACGCTGGTTGGGTGGCTCTGTGGGTTTTGTAGGTCTGGAGCCCAGCCCACCTGAATCCAGGCACACCAAAGAAGTCTGGCAGGTAGTCATCTAACACTCACGTGATCTGAACTCCCAGAAAGGAGGGTCTGTACAGGGGGTGGATGAGGGTGGGACTGGCCACACCTCGAGTCACCAGGGGAGCATGGGATAAAAGAAGAAATAGCAGTTTTCCATTGCCCGGATAAATGCCAGGCTTCCCTCATCTGCGAAAGGCACTCACAAGATGGTCAAGCCAGGCCTGGCCAGCCGTTCACCAGCCAGTCTCCCTTGTTTGCTGACCCTGCTCGGCCTCTCCTCCCAGCAAGCACTGCATCCACCTCTCTAACCTTTCTTCTGAAGTTTAGGATACCAGAGTTTTCACCTGCATCTGTCTTATTTGGTCTCTCGTATCTTTGTTCTAGAGTGTCTGTAGTGTGTCCGTCTAGTCTGCCATCATGCTGTAGGCTTAGAGATTATTAGAAGGAATATGTGTGTGCGTGTTCAGTGCGTGTTCATGTGTGCATACTACATAGATGAGGCCAACACCACTCGGCTGTCAGTGTGGCTTACTCTGGTGGATCGTGTGCGTTTGTGATGCTGGAAGCTGTGGCACCAGTATGTGAAATACATGCTGGACAAGTTTCAGTGAGCTTCCTGACTAAGACACATTAGGAAGGGAAGGCGGACCACTTCTAAATGAGTAGCCTCTGAGCCAGCTAGGACCTGGATATTAAAACATTATGAATAGCACCAGAATATCGTCAGATATAGTGCCAGAAGGTGAGTCTCTCAGTTTGGAAAGAATTCCAAATAAGACTGGGAAAGCGCTGCCTCTTCAAAGTAGAGTTGACCTTGATGTGAATGAAACAAAACTTTCGGGACCTTCATTTGCTGATGGGTCACAACTCAAAATGGGGAAATATAACTGCAAACATCCATTAGTGACTGGAACATGGAATGAATGAAGTATGAATCTAAGAAAATTGGAAATTGTCAAAAAGGAAATGGAACTTGTAAATATCAATACCCTGGGTATTAGGGCGCTGAAACAGATTGGCATTAGGTATTTTGAATCTGACAATCATATGGCTTACTATGCCTGGAATGACAAATGACAAATTCAAGAAAAATGACGTCACATTCATCATCAAAAACATACTGTAGTGAATAATGGTTATCAGGACTGATTATGAGGGTTGGAAATGCAAAGGTAGACGTTTTGTAGCAAGGAAGCGAGTGATTAATTCTCCAGTCTAGGAGCAGAGGTCTCTAGGACCATCAACGGAGAAGAGCCGAGAGCGGGACCCTACCCAGAGAAGCCTGAGATTGAGATAGAGACAGAGACGATGACGTGGAGTGATGAAGCGGCTGGGGACTTTGGATCCAGACAGGGAGAGGGACTGTGGGCCGAAGACTGGGGGGCTGGGGGGGTGGGGGGAGGAGTTCTAAGATATATCCCCCTTTGGTTGGAAAATGATCCATGGAAGGGATTGGAACCATGGCAATGAAATGATATACGATGGAATTAATGTAAAACTAAAGTTCTCTCATGTAAACTATCATATAATTTACAATAAAACATTCAAAAAAACCCACAACATTTCAAGATCTATCTTACAGTATAATGCTGTCTGTGAAAGCAAAATATCCATACATACACCTACAAGGAAGACCAGTTAATACCAATATTAATTCAATTTTCTTCACCAACCACTAAAACCAGTGATGATGAAATTGAAGAAGTCACTAACACTTCAGTCTGATACTGATCAAACATGCAATCACGACGTACTGAAAATTACTGGCGACTGGAATGCAAAGGTTGGAAACAAAGAGGAACGATAAGTCGTTGGAAAATACGGCCTTGGTGATAGAAATGATGCTGGTGATCGCATGATATAATTTTGCAGGACCAATGATTTCTTCATTATAAATCTATTTTTTAAACAACGTAAAAGATGACCACGCACATGGACCTCATCAGATGGAACACAGAGAAATCAAATTAATTACATCTGGGGGAAGAGACAGTGGAAAAGCTCAATATCATCAACCAAAACAAGACCAGGGGCAGATTGTGGAATCAGACCATCATTGCTGATATGCAAGTTCAGACTAAAGCTGAAGACAATTAAAACAAGTCCACAAAAGCCAAAATATGACCTGAACATATCCCACCTGGATTTAAAGATCATCTCAAGAACAGATTTGAGGCATTAGACACTAATGAACAAAGACCAAAATACTTGTGGGATGACAATAAGAACATCATACAAGAAGAAAGCAAAAGGTCATTAAGAAGACAAGAAAGAAGGAAAAGACCAAAATAGATGTCAGAAGAGACTAAAACTTGCTCTCCAGCATAGAGACACTAAAGCTAAAGGAAAAA